GTCCCACGTCCATGGAACCAAGGCAACGACGGCAACCGTCAACGCCGCTCCGACATGAAGCTGCTTGTTGACTTCATGCGGCTTTTCATTGAAGGTGGATACAGCCTAGATGAGCACAAGAATGGATACCGCGACGAAGTGCTCAAGCTAGGGAAGTCAGCAGAGGTGAAGTTGGGATTATATTTGAAAGAAAAAGGAATCAAAGCTAAGGCAGGTGGTGTGTGCTTGAAGAAACTGCGTGAGCTGCACTGTGCTATGCACTTGGATGCCCACATTCAACCCTTTGACGGGCTGTTTCGTGCCGGGCTAGTCGAAGACCCATCGTCTTTGTCGTCGATTAACCAGCTACGACCATTGTAATTGAACGCTTCAATTTGATAAGTTTAAATTGATAATACTTACATTTTGAAATATGTGTGCACTGAGCGCATGGGTCCACAAAGTGCAGCCTAGTTATTAAGTAGTTACCGGTTGTGAAGATAAGAAGGTCAGTACCTGATGAGTTACTGGTTTGAATGTTCAAGTACCATGCGGAACCACTGCAGGATTTTCGCCACCTTAGGTGGGGGGGGACTTACATATCAGATCATTCTACTCGGGCCCCCTTGGCGAGTAGAAGTTGCTTTTGAACTCGCAGTAAGGGTGGTTAATCAGTACGCGCAACACAACAAAAGAAATGACATAAAAAAATTGAATTTTAGCCCTCCAGCGACTCTAGCCGGAGCCTCCCCACGGTTGCCGTTCGCGGTACCTTGATCAAGATCGATGGTCGGCTCTAATCAAGCTAGACATGTTAGTATATTTCAATAAATCATATGAGAATGTAAAATTCTCGTACCGTAGCATCGTAGTTCACCATGCCTAAAAGAATACTGCTCCCGCGGTCGGCACTGTTGCGGCCGCGATCAAGCTGTCTTTAGCCCAAAAGTGTCCATGCCGCCAACGCTGCGACCTTCCCGCCACCGCCGCGACGATGCTGCCACTGCCACTTCCACGACCATGCTGCCACTTGCACCGCAGCCATCGCCATGCCATGCTGCCACTACCAGCACGACAATCTCAACATGGATGTGCCAGTGCCGTCACCACCACCGCTGCCATAATTGCCACGCACCACAGCTCAAATTGAGGTATGTGCGATATCTAGTTGATTTCTCAAATCCGATCCTTCTATTAATAGATATTATCACCTTGGTAGATAGCAGGTGTTATTGATATGTAAGTTTCACTATATGTAGAAGCAAGGTTAAAAAACGATCCAGCAGAGAATAGAATGCACGAAGTTCCATTGATTGAAACATGTATGTTATGTTAACGGTAAGGTTCGGTCATCGCATTTATAGCTGTTCTCCTAGTTATATGCAACGTTATTCCAATTCATTATTATAGCTACCATGCATTTCTTCACATTGTATGGTGTTGACAAACACCGTATTTTTATATAACGATGGTTGTTAGCGTTGATACTGGTTGATGTTTAGAGGGCTGGCGTTGGTGTTAGATGTTTAGGGTTGTCACGGGCGAAGTAGTTTTGTCGCCGACGTCTAGCACTTTCTGGATCACCGCGGGTGGAGTGTCCGTTCTAAACAAGTTAGTAGTAGTGATAGATTTCATTACGTAGGATGGTGTTGAAATACACCAGTACTTGGGATAACCACAGCTGATATGTGAGATGATAATGAGGTACT